GTTCTAATGCCCCAGGTCACAACATAGAGAGATGTTGGTATTTGAAAAGGGCCATTCAGGATTTGATCGATTCTAATCGAATTATAGTTGAAAGTCTGAGTGGACCCAACATCAATCAAAATCCATTACCGAGGCATACTGAAACAAACATGCTAGAAATGATGAAGGGTCATGAAGATTTTGCATCTCCGTATAAGCCAATCCTTAGGGTTGGAACTGGCATTGAGAAGTTAGCAAATGTTGTTGATTTAACAAAAATGATGCCTTTAGGGGCGAAAGTGTGTTAGAAAAGTTGAGTCCATCAAACACACCCATCTTAACTGTGAAAGGAGCCCTTGGAGATGTTTGGGCAAGTCCGAGTAAGGCAAAATCGTTAGTTCCAAAAAGGCCAGACAAACCTATCTTGATCGTGCAAGGGGCCCATATTCCTCCTGTGATTATCAAGCCAGTATCCCAGCTCCCAATGACTAACCCCAAAGCTGTTCCTTGGAATTATGAACCTACTGTCGTGACATACAAGGGAAAAGAAGTTGCTGAAGAAATAGATGAAGTGGGAGGAATAACTCGCTCAGGAAGATGTTATGTCCCGATGGAGTTAAGGAAAACTAAAAATGACCAAATACAAGTAAAGAGTCCGGTCACTGAAGGAGAGGCAGAGGAATTTCTAAGGAAGATGACACTATCAGACTACTCTGTGGTGGAACAATTAAGAAAAATTCCAGCCCAAATCTCTTTGTTGTCTTTGCTAATATATTCTGATGAACATCGTAAGGCTGTAATGAAAATTTTGAATGAAGCACATGTTCCTAGTAAAGTTACAGTGAGTCAGTTAGAGAAGATTGCTGGGAGAATATTTGAGGTAAACCGCATCACCATTTCAGATGATGAACTACCCAAAGAAGGTACAGGACATAACCAAGGCCTACATATCACTGTAAAGTGTGAGCTTTCATATGTCACTCGAGTTCTAATTGATGGAGGATCTGGAGCAAATATTTGTCCTTTATCAACTCTACAGAAATTGAATGTTAGTGCTGAAAGGGTCCGACCCAACAATGTATGTGTTAGAGCTTTTGATGGGTCAAAAACAGATGTTATTGGTGAGATAGATCTCGTACTAACCATAGGGCCTGTGGATTTCGCTGTGAATTTTTCAAGTGTTGGATATCAACGCGTCCTACAATCTATTGTTGGGGAGGCCATGGGTGCATAAGGCTGGAGCCGTCCCCTCAACATTGCATCAAATGATTAAGTTTGAATACGACCGACAAGAGGTAATTGTTCATGGTGAGGGGGATTTGTCAATCTACAAAGACTCTTCCTTCCCTTTTATCAATGCAGATAATGAGAATGAGGCACTAGTTTATCAAGCTTCTGAGGTAGTGGTTATTGAGCATGTCCCCGAGGGGAGTGCCATTCCAAAACCAAATATGCCCATCGCGTCTGTAATGGTGGTGAATGAATTGCTGAAACATGGGTTTGAGCCGGGTAAAGGCTTAGGAATCTGCTTGCAAGGAAGAGCTTATCCTGTGAGTCTACGAAAGAGCATCAGTACTTTTGGCTTAGGATACCAACCTAGATTCGAGGACAAAATGAAGGCAAAGAAGCAGAAGAGAGATGTATGGTCACTTACCAAGCCTATACAACCAATCTACAAATCTTTCATCAAAGCCCGCGCAACAGAATCTTATCAATCATCTTTTCTAGAGCCAGTGATGAAAGTTAGCGAAGAATTGATCAACTATTTTCAAGATTTATTTGTCGAGGTTGATATGGTGGAACTCGGAGAAGGCACTAGCGACAGAGATGTGCAATTCATTGGTCCTGATGTCAATCTAAACAATTGGGAGACCATCCCTGTTAAAGACGAGTCTTGGTAGTCTGTCTTGTTTTTTCTTTTGTCATCCGATTCATTCAAGGATTGTGATTCGGATTTTATCTTGTCGTTTTATTTCAAACATTCTATTTCCCTTTTCAATAGAATGTAATTGCATCTTAATTTCAGTCTAATATATTTGTTCATTTTCTTTTATACAGTTCTTTCTATGCCGATTCTAGTGATATGACATGCATGCAGAATTTTTATCCAGATCTTAATATCCAATCTAATCTTCGACCTAATATTGAAATAATAAGTGAAGAAATCGAACATGATGAAGACAGAGTATTTGAAGAAGTAAGGAGGGATTTAAATCATTTTGAAAATAAGTCAAATCCAAACATGAGTGAATCTGAGATGATAAATTTGGGGGATCAGGAAATTATTAAGGAGACTAAGATAAGTGTACAAGTTCGACATCAAAAGGACGATATAATCCAGGCCCTGTTTGATTACAAAGATGTTTTTGCGTCATCTTATGATGACATGCCTGGATTAAGCATGGACATGGTTGTTCACAAGTTGCCAATTGATCCTAATTTTCCTCCGATAAAGCAGAAGTTGAGAAAACTCAAAACTGACATGAGTGTAATAATTAAAGAGGAGATCACAAAACAACTTGAGGCCATAGTCATTCAAGTCGCTCAATATCCTTCTTGGTTAGCCAATATCGTACCTGTCCCTAAGAAAGATGGCAAAGTTTGAATGTGTGTTGATTATCGTGATTTGAATAAGGCAAGTCCAAAAGATGATTTTCCTTTGCCTAACATCCATATTTTATTGGATAATTATGCTAAACATGAGGTTGCATCTTTTATGGATTGTTATGCGGGCTACCATCAGATTATTATGAATGATGAAGATGCAGAAAAAACATCTTTTATCACTCCATGGGGTACATATTGTTATCGTGTTATGCCTTTTGGATTAAAAAATGCAGGGGCAACTTATATGAGAGCAATGACAACCATGTTTCACGATATGATGCATAGAGAAATCGAAGTTTATGTGGATGATGTTATCATTAAATCTAAAAAACAGTCAGATCATGTGAAAGACTTAAGGAGATTCTTCAAAAGGTTCCGCAGGTACAATCTAAAGCTTAATCCTGCAAAATGTGTATTTGGAGTACCATCGGGGAAGCTTTTAGGGTTTATAGTCAGTCGAAGAGGTATCGAGTTGGATCCTTCAAAAATAAAAGCAATTCAAGAATTGCCACCTCCAAAGAACATAACTGAGGTTATGAGCCTTCTAGGAAGGTTAAACTACATCAGCAGATTCATTGCTCAACTCACAACAACTTGTGAGCCTATCTTTAAGTTGTTGAAAAAGAATGCCACAGTCAAGTGGACCGAAGAATGTCAAGAATCTTTTGAAAGAATTAAGAATTACCTGTCGAATCCCCCTGTGTTGGTTCCTCCCGAGCCGGGAAGACCTTTGATATTGTATATGTCAGTACTTGATAGTTCTTTTGGTTGCATACTGGGTCAGCATGATGAAACTGGGAAGAAAGAGCGGGCCATTTATTACCTCAGCAAGAAATTTACCGTTTACGAAGCAAAGTATACCCTTCTTGAAAGAACGTGTTGTGCCCTAACTTGGGTAGCACAGAAGTTGAAACATTATCTTTCGTCTTACACTACTTATCTCATCTCTCGTATGGATCCGTTGAAATATATTTTTCAAAAGCCCATGCCCATAGGCAGGCTTGCGAAATGGCAAATGTTGCTCACAGAGTTTGACATTATCTATATAACGCGGACCGCAATGAAAGCTCAAGCATTGGCAGATCATTTGGCAGAGAACCCTATTGATGAAGAATATGAACCGCTTAAAACCTATTTTCCAGATGAAGAGATATCTTGTATCGATGAATTTATTCACGATAACGATCAAGGTTGGAAGTTATTCTTTGATGGTGCCTCTAACAGGAAAGGAGTTGGAATAGGAGCTGTTCTTATGTCTGAATCAGGGGAATATTACCCTATATCAGCCCAACTTAGATTCTATTGTACTAATAATATGTCTGAGTACGAAGCGTGCATTTTGGGTCTGAGGTTAGCTGTTGACATGGGCATCCAAGAATTGTTAGTGTTAGGAGACTCAGACTTACTAGTTCATCAAATTCAAGGAGAATGGGAAGCTCGAGACCCAAAGCTGATACCATATCAACATTGTTTACAAGGTCTTTGTCAACGATTCGTGTCGATAAAGTTTAGACACATTCCCAGAATGCACAATGAGATTGCAAATGCATTGGCCACTTTGTCTTCGATGCTCCAACACCCTGATGACGCCCATATCAACCCTTTATACGTACAAATTCGTGATCAACATGCCTATTGCAACATGATTGAGGAGGAATTTGATGGTAAGCCTTGGTTTCATGATATCAAAACTTATCTTCAGTCTGGAGAATGTCCGTCAGATGTAACTAGTAATCAAAGAAGGACTATTCGACGACTAGCAAGAGATTTTTTCTTAAGCGGAGGCATACTGTACAAGAAGACACCCGATTTAGGTCTTCTAAGGTGTGTAAATGCTCAAGAGGCTTCCACAATCATGATTGAAGTACACTCAAGAGTTTGTGGACCTCATATGAATGAATATGTTCTAGCCAAGAAAATACTTCGAGCAGGATATTATTGGCTCACCATGGAGCGGGATTCCATACGATTTGTTCGTAAATGTAATGAATGTCAAATACATGGTGATTTAATACATTCTCCCCCTTCTGAGTTGCATGCAATGTCGGCTCCATGGCCTTTCGTGGCATGGGGAATGGATGTGATTGGATCGATAGAACCAAAAGAATCGAATGGTCACAGGTTCATCTTGGTGGCCATTGATTATTTTACAAAGTGGGTGGAAGTAGTAACTTTCAAATCAGTGACCAAGAAGGTCGTGGTGGATTTCATCCATTTCAACATCATTTGTCGTTTTGGTATTCCAAAGGTGATTATAATTGACAATGCTGCAAATCTCAACAACCACTTAATGCAAGAGGTATGCTACCGATTTAAGATTGAGCATCGAAATTCGACTCCGTATCGCCCAAAGGCAAACGGGGCTGTAGAAGCTGCAAACAAAAATATAAAAAAGATACTTCGTAAGATGGTGCAAAGTTCTCGACAATGGCATGAAAAGTTGCCTTTTGCTTTGTTGGATTATCGCACTACAGTCCGTATGTCAGTGGGCGCTACCCCATATTCACTGGTATACGGGACTGAAGCAGTTATACCTGCAGAGATTGAGATCCCATCTTTACGAATCCTTGTGGAGGCTGAAATTGATGATGATGAATGGACCAAAACTCGGTTAGAGCAATTAAGTTTGATTGATGAGAAGCGTCTGACATCAGTATGTCATGGACAATTATATCAAAAAAGAATGGCATGGGCATACAACAAAAAGGTGCGTCCCAGACATTTTGAAGAGGGTCAATTAGTGTTGAGACGCATTTTGCCACATCATGCTGAAACCAAAGTCAAATTTTCTCCAAATTGGAGAGGACCATTCGTTGTTAAAAGGGTATTACCCAATGGTGCTCTTTACTTAGCAGATATAGAAGGCAAAGTGACAGAAACGGTCATCAATGCTGATGCTGTGAAAACATATTACATATGATTGAGTTTCAACATTAGAAACCCTTATGTTTGGGCTTGATATTTCAAGGGTTGATTCAATGGGATCTCTTGGTTATGCTGTGTCCTTGACTTTTCAAAAAAAAAAAAAAACACAAAAACAAAACAAAAAAAAGCAAAAAAAAAACAAAACAAATTGCCTGAACTACGTTTGACCTGATTCTTGTTTCGGCAAGATACGTAGGCAGCCCTAATATTGGGTTGGGTTCAAACAAATACAAATCCAAAAATTCATATTGTAGTATATTGGGGAAAAGTCGTTTGTTTATTTATTCGGTCTCTCATCTCACAGCTCAAAATCAACCCCATCATCTAAAGTCAAAAAAAAAGTCTTTGCATCAGCCCTTGATATGTCGAGAATAAGTTGGTTAAAGGTAGGTAAAAATCCTGATTGGGCACCATAAGACAAATGTGAGTAAAAAAAATAAAAATGAGAGTCTTATTGGTGAAAACCCTAAGTGGGCACCGTACGGTGAAAAGGAGTTGAATATAAGAGAGTCTTATTGCTGAAAATCTTGACATGCACCCTAAGGCAGACGTGAGCTGGAGCAATTAACATGATTGAGTTTTAGCAGTAAAGACCTTCTTGAATACCACAAAGTCTATAAGGGTTCAGATTATTTATGGCTTCATTAAGTGTTGGGATACCACATCAACATTGAATAATCAATAATGGTTGATGAATAGATTGGATAGCCAAGTCTGGAAATCAATTCAAAGTGCATGGCATGATCAATAGACTCGGCTCCCACACTCAGATAAGTTTTTCTTTCTTCTTCTTACAAAAAAAAGAGTCTTCATCGAATATTTTCTTTTATTCTCATATAGTTTGTAACTTTCTTATACTTTTTTTCGTCACTTTTTTGGTATGTATTTGAGTCGAGTCTTTGTCAAAAAACAAAACAAAAAAAAAACTATGAAGGAATTTCAAGACTCGCTACCAAGTCTCGAATCGGTACTAGACAAAGCATCAGGCTACTGAGTTAATCTGTCTTCAAGTGTTGAATTCGAAAATTCTTTGATCCTATGAAGGCTAAAAATGAGTGTTATGAGATAAAGACATTGGATTTAGGTCGCAAAATAAGCAAATATGGATGAAAGTACAATCAATCAGTAAGAAGTATTGAACGTTGGAAACAACCAATGCGTCATAAGTGTTTGAGCCACCTTTGTCGAAAGATGGAACCACAAATCAACCACCACCTTTTCAAACTCACAAATTTTCTTTGTTGAAGCAGGGACACAAGTTGTTTCAAGATTAAGGATTCGAGGAACCTAGATGTTCAACCTAGTCTGCAGCGAGCGAAATGGAAACCCTACAATAAAGACTTGTGGAATATTATATGAAAGTCGGCTAATATATATCAAAATAGCAATTACTTGAATGTTGGAATATTTATTTTATTTATTATTATTATTATTATTTTTCTCCTTGAAGGAACTTCCAAATAATGAAGATAGCATTCACAATGTTTCGTTGGTATTATTAGTTTGTTGAAAACTTTATTAGCAGGACCCTCCTGGATAATGGGAGTAGGAGGACCCTCCTGGATAATGGGAGTACCAGGACCCTCCTAGATAATGGGATTAGCAGGACCCTCCTGGATAATGGGACTAGCAGGACCCTCCTGGATAATGGGAGTAGCAAGACCCTCCTGGATAATGGGAGTAGCAGGACCCTCCTGGATAATGGGACTAGCAGGACCCTCCTGGATAATGGGATTAACAGGACCCTCCTGGATAATGGGACTAGCAGGACCCTCCTGAATAATGGGATTAGATTACTTTCTCGTAGGATTAACACTTCCTAGTCTAGATTTTTAGTTTTATTTTCTCCTGAAATAAACACTTCCTAGCCGAAGTTTATGTTTTATATTTATATTTTCTAATAACTCACAAAATTTCCCAGTGAAAACTGGGGCAAAAATTTTATTTATTTTTTGTTTGTGGTGGTTCTCAGGTTTTCTCAAGCGAGACCTAGATTTGAAATTCAAGAACAAAGTTTCAAATTTCTTATAATAATCAATTCCATGATGGTTAGAATTAGCTTCTTCAATGCATGTAGCAGCCTGATTTCCACACATCTTTTGCTATTCAACTTTTGATCAAGAAAACACGCATTTATTCAAGAGCATTTTTCAAGTTGTCATTTTGAAGAATGTCGAAAGTTCCGCCTAAGTGGCAAGTTCAACCTCAATTCCAATTCTAAGTTAAGATATGCACTCAAAAATCAAGGTGATATCTTAAAGTCAAAATTCAAGTGAAGATTCAAGAAAAGCTGCATGGATGGAAGTTTGTACATTTGTTTTTCTTTTGACTAATAGTTTTCAATTTTTATGTAAGGATAAGAGCCGCGATCTGGAGCCTCGATGGAACCTCACTTAACTTCCAACTCATCACTTTATCTCCTTGAACTACAAGTGTCCTGATTCCCTTATCACCCGAGATATGTAGGATGTCCAAACAAGGACTCGGTCGCACAAATTTTAGTCTTTCAAATAAGAGTTCTGTCACGACCCAAATCCGGGCCGCGACTGGCACCCACACTTACCCTCCTATGTGAGCGAACCAACCAATCTAACCTTAACATTTCAATGTAATAACAACAAAAGTAATGCGGAAGACTTAAACTCATTAAT